TTTAATCTTTTTTATAGCTTCAGAAACTTTCCTTATTGTTATAGATCCATTCATAATCTGTCTCTGTTCTTCTCTGATCCTCGATAAATTTTGTTTCTTTAGACATTCATCTATTTCCTCCAGAGAGATGTCACTTCCTTTATACAGGTTAGAATAATAGTGATGAAAGGCTTTTTGTATATCCAGAGTTCCTCATTGCAAGGGTTTCAGTCCAGCTTTATGCTTTGTTTGTAACATTTCCAGAAATAGAATCTCTGTAGCTCAGGGTTGACCTGTGGAGCTCTTACTGCTCTCTGAGCTTGGTTATTTGCTTGCAGATGCTTCATTACCCAACTAGGTAGTATCATCGGTGTGAGTGAGCGTGAACTTTGCTGCCTGTTTACATATAAACTATGCCCTACTTGGGTAGCAAAATGTTTGTGAGCGAACAGCCAAGCTCAGAGCGCACCAAGAACTCCCCATTTCCAGAAATGTTGGTGATGAGGAAAAAGAGTCCCCGCCCACGGAAAAAAAGAAATGAATGCAATATTTTGTTACCAAATACACACTTTTAAGAACGTGGAAGGTGCTGTGACACAAATTATTCCTTTGAGTATTATTTGAAGAACGTTCACCCTCCTGTTTCACCCTAGAGGCTCCCAAACTAGCATATGGATACCAGTCCTGCCTTTAGATTTACAAGCAGAAAACCAAGTTGCAGGAGAAGGAGAAAGGCAAGAGCAGGCACTGGGGTGAACACCGGAAGCGTAGGCGATCTGGATTTCTCACAGCTTTCGGGCAAAACTTGGGCATTGCCTTGTTTATTCATAAGTGCTGTCTTGGGGCAGTATTTTCAGCTGATACTTTATGTGCTTTTGTTCATACGCTCTTGCATTATTTGTGTTAAGTAAGTATATGTTGCTTACAGTGGGAAGTTCGAACTGACTTAAGCATTCTGAATTTTTGTTCATGAAGCACAAAATATTCTCAGCACTTGAAAATGACCCTCTGTTTGCTCGTGTTCCTGGAGAAGAATTGTCGCTTGAGAAGTACCGGGAGCTGACCTTTCTTCGCTGTCGGAAGCTTTTCGAATATGATTTTCTAAGTTTGGAGGAGATTCTTGAAAAACCCTTGAAAGTGGTAGTGCTGATCAGCTGCCTGGGGATGTACGATTGGTCTCTCGGGACCAAGTACTTGCTCAATTCCCAGGTAGGTGAACATTGTTGTCACTGTACTGACAGGCTAGAGCCACAGGGCCAGTCCTTGTGTTTTGTTTCCGAGAAACTTCTCTGGGGCGCTCTTCCACATAGCGATGGATGACCTGACATTTTCTTTTTATCATAATCATTAACTTGGTTGCACAAGCGTGTGGAGTTGCCAGCGGAAGGCCATCAAGGTAGAGCATTCTCTTGTTCTCGTCTAAATACAGCAGTGCGTAAACTACCTAAAGTGCTAACTCAGAGCCATTATTCTGTTTGGAAAGCTTAAGCAGCACTCTCTGCTTTAGGCGTAAGTGCTAAAATTAGTTTTTGTGAGATGCGATACATGCCAAGCTGAGAGGGAAAGAGAGGGAATGGTGGGAAAAGCTCTGCAGCCAAGAACAAAAAAGCAAAGGCTGCTGACATGCTCAGGGCAGTGAACAGGTGATATCTGGGCTTCTCTGTGGGGCAGGCCTCCGCGTAGAAGATCCTGTAAAGCAGGGCTTCTCCACCTCAGCCACTTTAAGATGTGTGGATTCCAACTCCCAGAATTCCGTAGCCAGCTGGAAGACAAAGGGGAGGGTTTGGCAGTGAAGGGGAAGGAAGAGGTGGGGATGGGCAGGAGGGAGGAGCTGGGTGCACCCAGCTTGTCCTGCCCACCTACAAGGTTCCTCTGAACGTGGCTCAGCGGAAGCCCCCAACTCAGTGGGCTGGGTTTTAGCGTAGCTGGACTGCAGCTCCACCCAGAATGGTCTGGCCCAATTGCTTGTTCAATGCACAGAGCAAAATGCAATTTCCATAATTTATTTTACTCCCTTATGTTTCCTGTAGGAAGTTTCTTGACTTTCTTGAGGTTTTTTTTTCTTGCAGAATAATCTAATTTGATCTAGAGCCATTTTGTTCTAAAGGAACTGTCTTGCCTGGAAGGAAAGCTTTTCTGTTTTTTACTTGAGCAGCAAGTAGTGCAACATCTTTACATTTAAACTTTTCTGATTTCATAATTCTTAATTGCCTTTTTTTAGTTCTTTGGCTTCTGTTTAAAGCAACGTCTTGCTTTAATGTCATAGGTGTTCAGAAGTACCATTGAGAGTACAGGATCTGAAAGACATGAAAAAATTCTTAAACAAGTCGAAAATATGGAGGTACTTCTTTTATATTGTTTGAAAGTTGAAGTTATTGACATCACTTTAAAAAAAGATTACTTTCATAAGAAATAATAATAATAATAGAAATCTTCTGTAAAATAGGAAGTTCCTCCCTTTTTCTTTTTAAGTTTTACTTTGTTAGTACTGGGAAACTCTGCAAGGCCTTCACCGATTAATATTCTCTTGCATCATTTTGTCTTCTCTTTTGATTTCAATCTATTGTGCGCGTTAGCTGAATAACCAACGTCAGGTCTTTCCGTGGAAGGTCCAAGGCAGCTCAGGGACCCAGACAGACTGGGTTCCACCTTTGAGCCCAGGGGTTCTTCGTCACAAAGCAGAACTGCACCAGTTGAGAAAACATGCACCCTCTCTCCAGGGAAGTGGTGACCTCCCGGGATGTAGATAAGGATCTTTCTGCTGAAGAGCTGTACTTAGTCCCGTAGCTGTTCAGACATGGGATATCTAAACTGAGCCTCTTGAAATGCTGCTCTCCTTGAAAAGCCTCCATGCACAGTGGACAGAGTTTATCTGTGAGAAACGTTTTCCTTCACTTTGTTTCTCTCTGCCCTTCGTCTACTAGGAGCCTTCGTGTGCCACCATAGACCAGAATTTCACAGCACCCGTGGTTTCCTGCAGATGCAGTGCCTGCCGTTAGATCCCCCAGCCAGCTCCTCTGGCCAGGTCCTTCAGCTAATAAAGCTAGACGGCTCTGGATGTATTTGACGGTGGTGTATAAATCCAGGGTTCTGGCCGGTTTCTCTCCTGGCAAACCCAGAGCAGAACATGGCTGGAAGTGAGCAAGATTTCCTGGTTTATCAATCATAAGTTACTGTCTGAACCATCTCAAATTGTCAGCTACAGCCCCTGGCAGGAGGAGCTAGCAAGAAGCGGTCAGGCTCTCTACTGGCATGGTTTCTCAGACGTCTTTTGTTACTTGCTGAAATGACCTTCTGTTTGATCCTTGTCTTGGACTTGGCCTTAGAGTGCTTGTTTCTCTTGTCCCATTTAAGCCCCAGGAGAGAGCAGGCTGATGTAAGCCGTTGGGTGGATTTCCTGGTTGCGTAGGAATTTCCTAAAGGGAGTCTTCACGATGGTGGCTGCGATGGTGCAATCAAAGCTCTGCCAGCAATGGCATGAAAAAGCAGACGGAGCTTTGATTGCGGGAAGACTGCCAAGAATAGATCCGCTGAACATCGGGCAGCCACCGCTTAGCCCTGAGTCACTGGATCGGTGGAAACACGGGACAGCTCTTCCCTTGTTTAGGCTTCGTAGCACAAAAATGCTTCTGTTCCTAGATGGTTTTGTTTCCACGGATTAAGATCTCTTTTATGTCCCTTGGCCGTAGGTTTTTGGATGTTTTGCGCTGACGGAAATAAGCCATGGCAGCAACACCAAGAATATCCGAACTGTTGCTAGATACGACCCAGCCACACAGGTTAGATTATCCACCAGCGGTTGCCTCTAACGCTTAGTTTTTAATTGTATTAAAATAATACATTGTACGGTGAAACTGTGTTTGAATGGACTAACTGGTTAGTGGAGGTATCAGTTTTTCCCCAGAATCTGGCAAATCACATAATTACGGCAGCGCAAATAAATTGTATCATTTAAATAATTTACACATTATCTCTCCGCTGGAAGAATTTAGATTCGGGCTTTGACGGCCGGCAAAGCTGGTTGTGAAATTTCCTGTATAAGTATTTCCTGTTGTGTTTCAGTCTAACAGTGCTAGTATAAAATAGAGCCAGACAATTGGTGTCTTTCCTGTCTAATGTGAAAGGTCTTTTACCAACTGTGCAGGAATTTATTCTTCATTCACCTGACTTTGAAGCTGCCAAGTTTTGGGTCGGCAACATGGGGAAGAATGCCACTCACGCCGTGGTCTACGCCCAGCTCTATACTCCAGATGGCCAGTGCCACGGATTGCATTCGTTTGTGGTGCAGGTGAGAGCAGATGTTCTTGCTTTCCAGGATTTTGGAAGTAGGCAGGTTTCCTTACTCTTTATGTGGAGATACGTACCATTGGCGTACCATAATATCCCGTTTCGTGGAATTGTTATAGAGAGATCTTAGGTTTGATGTGGGGTGTTTTGTTTTGTTTTGCTTTGCTTTGCTTTTTGTGCCTTTGAGTCAGTGATGACTCCTGGCAACCACCTGGATGAGTCCCTGCAGTTTTCTTGGCAAGATTTCGGAAGTGGTTTGCCCTTGCCTCCTTCCTAGGGCTAAGAGGGAGGGACTGGCCCAAGGTCACCCGGCTGGCTTCATACCTAAAACAGGACTCATGGTTTCCTGGTTTCTAGCCTGGTGCCTTAACCATGACGCCAAACTGACTCTCTTGATGTGATTAGAAAATGCAAACATCGAAATGTCTTCATTGCTTGCTATATAAACCTGCTTTGGTTGTCGCTGAAGCCAAGGAGAGCCAGGGCGGTAAATTGTTGCCCTAGGACAGGCGAGACCCAGGTTTAATGGATTGTTCATCTATAATTTCAGGATTTATGGCCACCCATTTATGGCCATCTGGTGGATTCTGGGTGACTCAGATCGACCCAGGTTCAAGTTCACCCCCAGCCCTGAAAGTGAACTGGATGAGTTTAACAGTTGTTCCCTCCCAGGCCAACCTACCTTACAGGATTCTTGTCAGGATAAAATTAAAGGAGAGGCTTCCTTGTACTTCTGAAAGAAATATGGGGTAGACGTATTGATTTGAAAATGATAAAAGCAATTAAAAAAAAAATACAGCAAAATACCATTAGTTGAATGACTTAAAATTAAAAATGGCTGGCAAAATATTGGAGCCAAAAGGCATACTGTTTGTTTGTTTATCCAATATATATGGCTGTTCATCTGTTCAAAGAAACTCTGGGTGGCAAAGAAAATAAAAAACCCGAACCTTCCATTATAACCAAAGGGACCCAAACTGAAGCCCAGTAAAATTTCAGCAACCACAAATCACAGACAGGTAGTCCTCACTTAACGACCAAAATTATGATGGTGCTGAAAAAATGGACTTACAACCTGTGCCCAAAGATATGGCAGTTGCAGTGCCCCCGCAGTCACATCATCAAAATTCGGCCGCTTGGCAGCCTGCCTGCACTTAACTGCAGGGGCGCTGCAGCTCCCCCAACCCACCTATCTCCCCCATCTATGCCCTTTTGGCCACCCTGCACAGCAGCACCTCGTGGCGGCAGCGCCAAGCCGGGGGCTGAAGTAGAGGTCTGAGGCCTTCAGCAGTCTCGGCCAGCTGCCACCGCCCCCAGGCCTTGACTTCAGCCCCAGCACCACCGCTGTCACTGAGAAATGCTGCCTCACACCCCACATCACTGGCCTTTGCCGCCTCGCGCCATTCCCTGAGCCACGCCTCTCATTTCTTCCTTAAAGATGGCTTCCCATTGGCCTATTCTTTCCTGAAGCGTCCCATAACTTCTGTCCCATTCTCATGATCCTTCGGAAACCTTCTGGTCTTTCCCAGGTCTCACAAGAATGGAAATGCCGGCTTTAGGGAAGGAAGGAGAGGTGTGGCTTGCAGTTATGGGACTTGTGGCTTTGGGAAGGAATGGGATGTGGGAATGTCCTTGGGAGCCTGGGCCCAGAGATGCTGCCTAGGGAATGGTCAGATAAGAGACAGCATGGTCCGCAGCTGGATAATGGGCAGGGCAAGAGGCTCAGAAGGGATCCTCCCTAGTTTCTTGGGGGGTAAAGGAGATGTGGGGAGAACTGTACTTTCAGACTCGCAAGATTCTGTTAATGTAGCCTTACAATAAAGTAGAATTAGTTCATCTGGGGGCTTTTCCTGGCTGGTCTCTCTGGTAAGGCTGACATTAGCCCCATTCTGTATAGAGCTTTAAAGGTAACAACCAGCACCTTGAATTGCACCTGGAAGCAATGCAGTTCACATAGCAGCCATGTCACACGAGTGTACAGTGTGCACCCAAAACTGCATGTGCGTCTGCGTTCTGGACTAGCTGAAGCTTCCAAGCGCTCTTCAAGGGCAGCCCCACGTAGGCAGCATTGCAAGAGTCTAGTCGAGAGGTGACTAGGGCGCGAGTGGCTGTGAGTACCGCCTCCCGATCTAGGAATGGGCACAACTGGCGCATAGATGTATTTGTGCAAAAGCTCTCCTGTCCACAACTGTCACCAGCTTCTCAGGCAAGAGCTGTGAGTCCAAGAGAACCCCTGTATTGCGCACCAACTCTGCCTGGAGGAGCGTAACCCCCCTTAGAGGCAGCAGTGGAGAACCACTAGATCCAGGGCTTAAGCCACGCACTCTTGCCAGGGTTGAGGCGAAGCTGCTTCTTCCCCAGCCAGACTCTCACAGCCTCTGGGCATTGGGGAAGCCCCTCAACAGCCTCACCTGGATGGCTTGTCCTGTTCCTGAAGGAAAGGAACGAGTCTACGTCTCACATAGCAAGCTGGCAGCTGTGGAAAAGGCCTGCTTTCTTCTGTCCTGGGTGGCATCCCTTCCTGACTTCCTTGCACTGAGGAGACAGATTCTATTTTGAGCAGACCTGGGCCAAAGCCACGCGGGGCTGTTGTTTGGGGTCTAGACAGGGCCCATGAAGAAGAGCAGCTCTGCTGCTCCACAGCAGGGACTGGTTTGCCATGGTGATGGTTAGCCCAGGCAGGGGAGGCTGCCCTTTTGGTGGAAAGTGACATTTCTCTCATATTGTGTGGAAAAATGGGAATACCTTGTCACCCTGGCGAAAGTCCTCCTGCAGGATGAGAGCCCCAGGCTGTGGTGGTCCCAGTGGACCCTTCCCAACTCATTTCCTCTTGTTTCTGTGTTTCCAAGGACCGGGAGAGCTGCTTCCACAGTGAGCTTCTTTGCATAGCTTTTCTTGGTTGATTGCTTACTGTTAAGCCTCAGCAGATGATACTGATGACCGTAAACAGTACAGCTGCAGCATCTTAACCTAAACAAAATGGTTCCCATAAATGTATTCACTGATTTGAATTTTCCATGCTTACAGATTCGAGATCCAAAAACCCTGCTTTCAATGCCAGGTGTGTTGGTTGGTGACATAGGCAGGAAGCTTGGGCAGAATGGTTTGGATAATGGGTAAGTATCCACCCGAAGACCTTCTCGGACACCATAAAATCACTCTTTCCATTCAGGGTTAGGGTTAAGGCTGAGGCATCAGGCTAGAAACGGGGAGACTGTGAGTTCTAGTCCTGCCTGAGGCACGAAGCCAGCGGGGTGGCCGTGGGCCAGTCCCTCCCTCTCAGCCCTAGGAAGGAGGCAAGGGCAAGCCACTCCTGAAAAATCTTGCCAAGAAAACTGCAGGGACTGGTCTGGGCAATCTCCAGGAGTCAGCACTGACTCGAAGTCACCCAGTCAGTCAACCAATCAATAAATAAATTCAGGAATGTTAGAGTCCAAGGCTTACTGGAGTTGAAACAGCTTTCCCAGTAAGCCTGAATATAATCTGAATATACAAGAATATTTCTTTTAAACCTATTAGGTTTATACATTCCGTAGTCTCAGCAAAGGGCACCATCTGGCCAGTGTTGTCTGGACTTGGAAGCTGGACAGGTCAGTCTCTGGATGGGAGACCTCCGGGGATTTCAGAGCTGTGGGCTGGGCTGCCAAGTTGAAAGCCGTCCAGGGCAAGCTGCTTCCGGAAAGCTGTGTGGGATTGTGTACCAAGCAGCGGCGTCTGCAAGGTCTCCTTGCTTTGGCTAGAGGGGGGGAAGCAGCATTGTGGTGCAAGCTCTGCCCTTTGGGTGTGTGGGAGTTGTGACAGAGAGAGAGGGTTGTTGGGGCTGGTGCTGCAACATTGCTGTCCTCAGCCTGATTCCCCAGGTAGTCAGCTTGACTCCAGAGACTCCCTTTAGCATCGCTCGGATTGCTCCCTCCAGCAGGAGATGAAGGCAGCCTCGTAGTCGATTCCCAGCAAGCTGTTGAGTTGCAGAGCTACCAGGCTGCCTTGCTGTGTCCCAGCAGGGGAGAGGGGGAGAAATCCTGCCCCAGAGCTAGGAGCAGCCTTGCAGGCCTCAAGATGGGTGAGAGCAGCAGTTCTATATACCATCATGCTTTGGGGGGGCGGAGAATGTGCTGTTCTGGCTGAGGGTTTCCATGTCTGTATTCTGAGCCCGAGAGCCCCCATTCAACCTTCTCTTGAAACTGCCAGGTTTGCTATGTTCCACCACGTGAGGATACCCAAAGAGAATTTACTGAACCGAACTGGAGATGTGACTGCTGAGGGGAATTACACAAGTGCGTTCAAGGTAGGAACTGTGCTTAATTAATATCAGGAATCTTAATTATATTAAAGCTCGATTCCTTTCTATTTGGTTCTTCCTCATATGCCATTTTCTGGATGATTTTCAGCAGTTGCTATAGTATGGGAGGACCTTAAAATATCCCATAACGTTAAACACTGGTGTGAAGTCTTCCTCTTGGGACTGTTGTGTTTCCCCAGGATCACAAGCAGCGCCTGGGGGCTTCCCTGGGAACGTTGTCCAATGGGAGAGTTATGATCATTGCTATGTCTGTGGTCAATTTGAAGCTGGCCATATCCATAGCCATTCGCTTCTCGGCCACCCGACGCCAGTTTGGGCCGACAGACGATGAAGAGATACCCGTTCTGGAATACCAAATGCAGGTAACAGCAACCTCTTTGAAATAGTTAATTCAGCCAGGCAAGGATCTTGCTCAAAGTAAAATCTGGCTCTTACAATGGGAGGGTCTCACGGTAGCTTCCTTCTGGCCGGTATTCCCTGTTGCTTTGCAAAACTCTGTGTCTTGGCTTTAAGGAGAACAGCTCTTTTGTGAGCAGAAGCAATGAACAGCTGAGAACTGGGGATCAGTAGACAGCAACGGCGAGCGGTAATTGGGAATTAGTAGAGATGTGTGTCCTTGCCTGTGTTTCTGGGTCTGTTCACACACGTTACTGCCCCATATTTAATTTAAAAGATTAATTTGAAAGATAACGCACGTGTATAAGATACCTTTTGGTCTTGACATAGATACGTACAGAATTATTGTCTGATTCATTTTAGTGATATGTTTTTATTTGTAAACCAGACTTCTATTTACTAAACCAGATCACTGACTTGGAAGAACCTAAAGTAACATGCAAACTTGGGATGGGCAGGAGCAGAAGGTGATAGGAATCTGTAGGATTTTAGGCAGCGTCGAGAGTTCTGAAAGTTTCTGCTTACAGAATTTATACTCGTGATGAAATGTATTCTTGAAATGATGTGACCCTCACAGCTTAATTCATAATTCAAATGTTATTTGAATTCCAGCAGTGGCGCTTACTTCCTTACTTAGCTGCAACGTACGTCTTGGACTATTTCTCCAGAACGCTGTTCATTAATTCCATTGAATTCCACATAGGGCTCTTGATGAAGGACAAGAGTTCCCAGCAGGTAGGAGAATCTTCTAAAAAAGTGTTCTGCTGTCACAAAAGACTCTTTTGAAACTCTGGCACTTTGGAAGGATGGTTTGTGCAATGAACTTGATAGATTACAGTGTTGTTGTTTTTTCCCATGGCTCAAAGTTCATGTTATGTCTTATTTTAGCAAATCACCCAGAGATGACTACAAAAATAATCTCTAGGGGGGCATTGCGTTGAAAGTGTGGAAATTGCTTTGGGCAAAAACTAATGTAATCACAATGATTTGAAGGACATGAAGGAGAAATCCATTGATATGTAGTCACCATTGATATTAATAAAGTCTTCCCTCATCTGTACAAATATTCCATTCATTTTGAATGGAAATATTGAATGCATAGGTTTATAATGTTTGCATCTCTCCTCAGATTTACAAACGTGTGTGTATTATAACAATCAATATTTTATTTATACTTTACTTTTTCTGCAGCTCTGTCCAGCTGTTTTTTAGGGATTTTTTTTTACAAAAAAAACCCAATCTATTTGCATAAATAGGGGGGAGATTGGCACTAAAAACTGGACTCCAGTCTGGAGCAAGAGGGCAGACGCCCTCTTGGGTTACCTGCACCCACACTGCCCCAGCAGGGTGAGTCTTAGCTGACCAAGCCCAGCCCTGCGGCTCACACTCCCCCTTCCTGCCTCTTCCTCTTCCAGTTTTACATCTTGGCTTCTTACCAGCAGTCTGTGAAGCAGCCATGCTGATCCATCACCCAGGTCATTTGGCTGCATGTGCTTTTGGAATGCTCTCTTTGGACCTTCCCAAGCGCTGGAAGCAGTTAACTTCAATGGGGAAATGATCCCCAGAACGCTTGATTTTCCCTCCATGTGTCTGTAACAGACCACAGACTAACTATTGTTTATGCCTTGTAGCCCATCGTTTGTTCAATTGTTAAGTCGTGTCCGACTCTTCGTGACCCCATGAACCATATCGCACCAG